GAGCCATCAGCCCCCCAGCACCAGCCAGACGCTGCGGTGGCAGGAGGCGTCGGGCTGGGGCAGGTGATGGTGACATTTAAGAGCCTTGGGTACCAGGGGAGCCCTCTCTTCTCTAAAATGAAGAGGTTGGAGAGACCCTAAAGCTGTCCAGCCCCCAGAAAGGTGGGCCTTTTTTAAAAAAATTGATTTCAGAGAGCAAGGGAGAAGGGGAGAGAGTCAGAAACTGTGGGGAGCGGCACGGCGATGGCATACTCAGCCCTAGGGCGCCTTATGTGCCATGCCAGCTCAGCCTGGTTCAGTGACCCTGAGTGGGGCGGGGAGGCGGGGGAGTGAAAGGATTGAGAAAAGACAGACAAGAGAATGAAAGGTTGATCAGAACTTTGAGGCCCACATTGTGCCGCGCCGGTACAACCAAGGGTGAACCTGAGTGGGGGCGGCTGAAAGGCTTAGAAAAGGCAGACATGAGAATGAAAGCTGGGTCTCGGTGGGACGCTGCTTCTCTGAGAGACGGCGCCCACAAGCCGTGTCTTTATTTTATAGCAGATGCCACGAGGCAAAGTAAGGGCGTGGTTAAGATGTTTTCAGCATTCTCGTGGGTTTCAATCCTCACTCACTACATGCACCTGAACTCTATCGCTAGGCACATGGGGCTACGTGTTTGGACCACAGGTTCACGCTTACAACCACAGCCGTTGGCTATAATTGTGCTGGGACTTGCATGTGGCAATGAGAGGCCCCTGTCCTTTCATAAGTCCGAGGCTTGAACCTGGCCAAAACACCGTAACCGCGCCCCACAAGAAACATCAGCGACAAGAGAGCATCACTGATTGGCTGCCTCCTGCATGACTGGGGATCAAGCCTGCAACCTGGGCATGTGCCCTGACCAGAATCGAATCATGGCCTCCTGGTTCACAGGTCGCCGCTGAGCCCCTGAGCCACGATGGCCAGGCTGGTGGACATTTTCTTGGTCGAGGTTTTAGGGCAGGCTCTTCTCCACAAATACCACATTGTTCTCACGGTCAAAATTCTCAGTTAACAAAGACCCAGGTCTACCAAGTGCTGGGCACCCAGGGGACCCTGGCCATGGCCCCCACACGCTCCAGGTTCCAGCACAGCCCTGGTCTCATGTCATTTTACTAGAGGGCCAGTGCATGAATTCGTGCACGGGTGGGGTCCAGCCGCCCACCCCTGATGGGGGGGGCGCAGACCCAGGTCTACCAAGTGCTGGGCACCCAGGGGACCCTGGCCATGGCCCCCACACGCTCCAGGTTCCAGCACAGCCCTGGTCTCATGTCATTTTACTAGAGGGCCATGCATAAATTAGTGCATGGGTGGGGTCCGGCCGCCCACCCCCAATGGGGGTGGGTGTAGTTGGGAGTGTGGCCAGCGGGGGGGAGGGGCCGAGGGCAGTTGGCTGGCCAGCCCCACCACGATCAGGCCAGTTGGCCACCGCAGTGCACATCATAGCCACCGGTCATGCTGGACGCTCCGTCATTTGGTCACTTGGCTTTTATATATATAGATTCCTTCAAGAAAAATGACTCCTTCGATGTAATTTAAGACCTTACTGGGACTGCATCATTTACTCCTGTGCTGTGCCTTTTGGTTAGGAAGAGACTGTCCCTCACTGCTGCCTCAGCTTTTCTCTAGAAACGCCCTTCCTAAGGAACACGGCTTGGAGAGCATGTGCTCAGCGGAGCCACTGAGACCCACACCCGCTCTCCCCGGGAAGCTCCATGCTGAGGACACTCCTGCCCACGACACACATCCTCCCACGACCGGCCCCCCTGCCCCGGTGATGGGGCCTCAAGACTGTAAACCCCCAAGTTGCAACAACTCTTCCCTGGGCTTGTGAGGCTGGGCTGTTCAAACAGGAACCTGAGAACAATCCTCTAACTTTCTATTGATTTCAGAGAGAGGAAGAGCGAGAGGGAGAGAAGCATCAATGATGAGAGAGAATCATCGGTCGGCTGCCTCTTACACTTCCACACACTGAGGATTGATCCCGCAACCCGGGCATGTGTCCGTGACCTCCCGGTTCATAGGTCTACACTCAACCACTGAACCACACCAGCCAGGCAGTCCTCTAATTTTCATAGTGAAATAACTAAGAGGTAAATCCTATAGGGACATCTGTGTGTATGCATGCACATGTGTACATATGTACACACACACACACACCCATACTCATTCACCAATCTGATGCTCCCACAGCCTCCTACACAGGGACAGATGCCTCAGGCCCAGGGTTTGGGGAGTAGGATGGCAAACCTCCCACTGGGTGTGGTAAACCAAGTCCTGGAGAGCCTGCTCGCCCGCTCCCCCCCCCACCCAATCACCCTCAGCGTGCCAGGCATGTCAACTTTGGTCGGGCCCAGGAATACCCGGTCTCAGCTCAGCGCGTGGCTGGGGACCAGGATGCTGGAAAAGGCAGAAGTGCCTTTTGGTCCCTGCCCAGCCCAGGTGCCACTCTGAGGAAAATCCCAGAAATGATCTCGGGACAAAGGAAATTTTGCTGATGTTAATCGGTAGTGATAACCCTTCCCGACCACGGAGGGCATTACCATGAACAGAACATAATGTTCTTATGAGGTAGCTGAGCAGGGATTACTGGTTCCATTCTGATTCGGAGAAGTTAAGTGACCTGCCCAAGGTTCGATGCTACTGAAGAACCAGAACTAGCTCTGAGGTTCACCCCACTTTCTTTCTTTTTTAAAATGTTTTCATTGATTTTGAGAGAGAGAGAGGATGAGAGAGAGATAGAAACATCAATGAGAGAAAAATATCAACATTGATCGGCTGCCTCCTGCACGCCCCCTGCTGGGGATCAAGCCCACAACCTGGGCATATGCCCTGACCAGGAATCAAACCTGCGACCTCTTGGTTCATGGGTCAATGCTCAGCCACTGAGCCACGCTGGCCGGGCCTCCCTACTTTCCATGACGCTTGTGGCTTCATGAATGTGACACAGAACTGGAAATGTCACTTAGCTGGGTGCCCTCGGGGTCACTCTGGACAGCTGTTGCTCATTCCCCCAGGAGCCGTGCTCTCTCCCCGTGAACCTGAGATGGGCCCAGCAGCCATGTTCTCCTTCCCTCCATAGAGCACACACCGCTGTCTGCACTTAGCACAACCCACCTTCCCACAGAAGGTCAGCTCCCTGAGGCAGGACCGTGTGAGGCGGGACCATGTGAGGCAGGACTGTGCCTTCCATGACGTTGTCTCAGCTGGAGCCAGGCCTGACTCACAGCAGGAGCAAGCACATGTCTGCTGAGGGACATGCTGTGGAGGGTCATTAACCCCCAGGAGGTAAGGTCTTTTAGGAGGTGAATGAGTTTAAATGCCTAGGCCCTGATCCAGCATAGGCCCTAACCCAGCATGACTGGTGTCCTTATAAGAACTGAAGTTTGGGACACAAACACAGAGAGAAGACAGCCGTATACATGCCAAGGCGAGAGCCCTCGGGAGAAACCAGCCCTGCCAGCACGTAAAACAGAGTTCATTCTTATATTAGTATTTATTATTTACTTGTATAGGGTGTCCCAAAATTCACGCAAGAAGTATTTTGATAGAAAACACATGTTTATAATTAAAAATTGTAAATGTTTTATTGATTCATAAAGAATATAGTATAGGGTTATGTATGGAATAGCACATAGGGTAAATGGCCTCCATGGCTTTGCTGGCAAAGACGCATTGGTCTTCATTGTCCCTGCTCCTGGGCCATCATTGGTACTTGGTCATGCTTATCAAATTGAAGGAATTGAAATCAAAGGGCAACAGATATTAGAATCTGATTCAATAAACCAAGTCAAATTAGGCTTTTATTTGTTGTTTTGTTAATGCTCACGCAAAATTCAAATCTTGTGTGAATTTTGGGACACCCTATACAACTGTAAACCTACTTTTGCCCAACCCATATACTGTTAAAGTTCATTTCACCTGTTTCTTTTTATTTTTTTATAATATAAGTGCTAGAAAATTTTAGATTACATCTGTGGCTCGTGTTATATTTCCTCTGGAAAGTTCCGGCCTAGGGCCTTGTGGGTCATCATAAGGGCCTGAGCTTTTACTCTGGGGGACATGGGAGCCAGTGGAGGGTTTCCAGCTCAAAGGTGACATGATCCGACTCACTTGTGTTTTAAAAAGGTCACTCTGGTTGTCGTGTTGAGAGACCATGAGGGATGTCAGTAAAGACAGAGACCATTAAGCGGCCACTGAAATCATTCAGCAGAAGCCGGAGGCTTGAGACGTGGTCGGACACTGAGTAGATTTTGAAAGTGGAGCCGGGAGTATTTCCTGGCAACAGGGTATGAGGAACAGAGGAGTCCAGGAGGAGTCCCAGTGTTTGGCCTGAGCTCCTGGAAGACGCCATTTGTGTGATGGAGAAAGATGGGGGTGGGGGGAGCGGGTTCAGGGAAGAAAAGCAGGAGGTTGGTGTTGGATAAGTTAACCCCAAGGTGTCTTTTGGTTCCCAAGGGGAGATGCTGAGAAGTCGGTTGGATATAACACTAGAGCTCAAGGGAGGGGTCCAAGCTGCAGATGTGGCCTTGGGAGTCTTCGTCATAAGGATCCAATTTCAAGCCAGGAGACTGAGCCGGAGCATCAAGGGAGTGAGGTGAGTGTAGGCGGAAAAGAGATGAAGATCAAAGTGAAGATCAAGAGCAAGTGCCCTGGGGACTCCCAGGTTTAGAGGTTGATGAGATGAGCAAAGGATACACGAGGCATAAGGAAAAGCAGGAAAGGTGGGTGTCTCAGAAGCCACGTGAAGGCAGCATTTCGGGGAGGAGGAAGCGAGAATTGTGGCCACTGCTGCTGAGAGGTCCAGGAAGACGAAGACAGAGAACTGACCACTGTCAGCAGCCTAGACGTGCTTGCTGATCCTGATGTCGCATTTAGGTGAGAGGCGGAGGCAGGGTTCAAGGGACAGGTGACAGCAAACCCAGGCCACTGGTTCAGGGCACTCAGCTATAAAGCGGGGAGGAGAAGGGCAGCAGCCAGAGTGGGTGTAGGATCAACAGAGGTTATTTTTAAAAGACTGGGGGCAGGGGGCAGTTCAGTAAGTGTGCGTGGTTCCGGGAATGAGTTATTAGAGAAAATCTTATGATGCATAAGAGTTAGCCACTCACATCACCCCCATCTAGGTTCTACTCTTCTCCCAGCATTACCCAGTACATTGTTATTGTCCCATTGTCCCAACATATCACTATTGCAGTCCATCTACTGATTACCTTGGTAATCTTTATTTCTTAATCTATTGATTACAGGCAGCATCTCTTGATCCCCCACTTTATATGAGGAAGGTATTCACACCCCCACTCTCCCCTGTACATGTCAGTCAGCTTTCATGGGTGTGCTAGGACAACAACAACACTGTAAACAACAAAAAAACCTTAGCGACTCAGGCTTATTTCCCAGTCACATGCCTTGCCCTGCCCTGCCTCTGGCTTCCTCTTGATTCTGGGAAGCCGGTTGAAGAGCAGCCCCCACCTGAGACCTGCCGCTCTCATGAGAGAGGGGAAAGGAAGGAAGGCAGAAGCGCACAATGCCTCTTGAGGTGTCCGCTCCGACATAGCTTATGTCATTTCCACTTACATTCCATTGGCCAAAGCAAGTCACATGTCCAAGCCTGACACCAATGGGCAGGGAAGGAAGGATTCCCCTCCCACAGGGGGCGTGGCAAGCCAGGGGAGGACAGTGAATAATTGGGAGCAATAATCTCATCAATCACAGTTGCCCTTCCCTTGTCTTGCCTACCTGCCAACTACAAGCTGTGCTTTTCATTTTTATTGTCCAGGTGGAAAGCCTTTCCGTCCTCCTTTCTAGCTATTTTCGTCTCCGGTGCTTTGTCTGCGTTTGGTGTTAAAAGCTGGGAACCACTGAGCAGCCTTTACATCGTATGACGAAGCAAATGTTCTTGCTGCAGAGTCGAAGAGAACTAAGAGCCCATCTTGGGCACCACTGGGCCAGGGACAGGCCCTGCCCCTTAAAGGAGCCGTCCTCACTCTCCACCACTTCCTCAAAACCAGGCCACGTTTTTAATCGCTGCCTATGGGAGCTAAGCTTCTCATAAAAATGTCTGGGTTTTCCAGAAGGTGTTGATTGCCTCTCTTTCACAGTTGGAAGCAGAAATCTGTGCCTTCTTCCCCGGGTCCCTAATCGCTTCCAAATCTTCCCTTTACTGTTTGGAATCTTTCTGTCCTTCTTCTTGAGGCCTGCTGACCCCGACTCTCACTGGGCAGGCGCCTTCGTTTGGAGACCCGAATAGAAACTTCCTTTAGCATAACGTTCTGTCTTTCCTGCAGTTACCAATCGCCTTGTTTTCCTTGCTTACTTCCTGCTGTGCGTGTTCTATCACCACATTAATTCCTTGCAGTATCCCCTTATTATATATGTAAGAATAACTTACATATATTCCACTCTGTGAAAGGTCCCTCCACTCCTCACCCCCATCCTGAGACCGCTTTCCTGGTGCCTCCATCCTCTTACTCTAATAAGACAGACTGCTCGCCAGACCTGGGGACAATTTCATCCTGAGGTTGCCTTTTATGGCTGCCATGAATTGGATACATTATTCCTGAATCTCTTATCTCCCTTCTTGGTTGACACTGTTGTTTTCTAAAATACATCCTCAAATAACTGCCTTTAAAAGGCGTAGCCCTGGCTGGTGTGGCTCAGTGGTTTGGGCGTCGGCCTACACACTGAAGGGTCTCTGTTTGGATTCCCAATCAAGGGCAGGTACCTGGGTGGCGGGTTCACTCCCCGTCCCCGGTCAAGGCCCATGTGAGAGGCAACCAGTTGATGTGTCTCACACTGATGTTTCTCTCTCTCTGTCTCTCCCCCTCCCTTCCCCTCTCTCTAAAAAAGCAAAGGAGAAATATCCTCATGAGGATTAACAAAACCAACAAAAAAAGATTGAGTAGGACATAAACTTCCAGGTGCTGGCCTGCCTTGCTTCTATAAAATTAAGCTAATATCGCCCTGACTGGTTTGGCTCAATGGATAGAGCATCGGCCTGCAGACTGAAAGGTCCCAGGTTCGATTCTGGTCAAGTGCATGTACCTTGGTTTCGGGCACATCCCAGTGGGAGGTGTGCAGGAAGCAGCTGATCGATGATGCATCTCTCTCATCAATGTTTCTAACTCTCTATCCCTCTCTTTTCCTCTCTGTAAAAAAATCAATAAAATATATATTTTTTAAAAATTAAGCTAATATCTATTCCTGGAGTATAATTCTAGTTAATAAATATTCACACAAAACATGCTATATCAAGGAGAAATTTAAAATGGTTGCTGCTCTCAAGGAACTCACATATAGACAAAGAATAAACTCTTGAAAGAGTAATAAAAAGTCAACAAGGAAAAGATGCCTCAGGTAGAACCTAATAAATATCGAGCCTTAGGCCTAGAGAGAAGCTAGAGTGAACCAGCCCGTGATGCTCTTACAGGGGAAGCAAGACTTCAGTTGAGTTCAGAGAGTAGGCAATATGTTCGGGGTAGATTGAGTATTTATGAATATTCAGCAGTAGGCTAATGGCCAACATTAGTCTGACAGAAGGGCCGACAGTCAATGGAAGCTGCCTCCGTCCCACTTGCCCTCCCACTATCGGAGTTACCAACATTCTCACTTCACCAAGTCCATCAAGATATAATTGTCAAATATGAAAGTGTAATTTTACCCCTGACCGATAGACACACTCTCTGGCTATTTAGGGCCATAACAATGAACTTCCCTACGTGTATGAGGATTGCGTATATCCTTATAACTGCCCTACTTGTTAGACTATGCAGGTACAGGCACTGGTCTTTATTAGTGGAGTGTCACTGAATAGGACTGGGTCACTCTCTTTACCATCCTTTTTTTAAATTTTTAATCCTTAACAGAGGATATGTTTCCACTGAATTTTAGAGATAGAGGAAAAGCAAGAGAGGGAGAGAGAGAGAGAGAGACATTGACTGGTTGCCTCCCTCACACTCCCCAGCCAGGGATCGAACCTGCAACCTAGGTATGCGCCCTGCCCAGGAATAGAACCCGCAACTTTTTGGTGAATGGGATGACGGTCCCACCAACTGAACCACCTGGCCAGGCTTCATCATCCATATTTTTTAAATTTGTTTTTATTGTTCCATTGAGAAGTCCGTCAGAAAGACCATAAATCACTCCTGCTCCCCATCCACTCCTGGGGAGAGGAAACATCCCTCTGATTGGCCGGAGTGTTATCCCAACAGCACCATTGCTTGGGTCAAGAAGTCACCAGGGGCCCAGGCGGTGTGGCTCAGTGGTTGAGCATCCACCTATGGTTTGATTCCTGGTCAGGGTACATGCCCTGGTTTCAGGCTCGATCCCTATTAGGGGGTGTGCAGGAGGCAGCCGGTCAATGATTCTCTCTCATCATTGATGTTTCTATCTCTCCCTCTCCCTTCCTCTCTGAAATCAATAAAAATATGTATTTTAAAAATAAAAAATAATAAAGAAGAAGTCACCCGGGAACTGTGAAGACGGTGCCTCTCCATGGCAGGTCCTCCATGGACCTACGACGCCTACGTCAGAGAGAACACGCGCCTTCATTCGCCCCAACACTTGCACTGTTGTCTGACTTGCAAATGAGGAGAGGACTGGAGGGAAGGAAACTTCCAGGAAGAAGGCCTTTGGGCCAGGGTCTGCCCAGTCCTCAGAGAGCGGGCTGAAGTGAGAGTGGGAGAGCCCGGGCGGTGATGGGTCTCCTCGGTTAGACTCTACCTAGTGCTGCTCCCACGGGGAGCGGCTGCGCTGCCATCGGGCACTGGAATTTACACACAGTTCGCATCAGCTGCTCCGATGATCTGATACCCTGGCTGGTTTGTTCGCTGTCACGTCCCCAGTGCCTGGCCTGGGGTGGGCGCCCTGTGCTCCTGGGATGAATGCGTGAACGGACTGAAATGAGCTGCATTTCCGCAAAGGGAAGAGCCAGACCTGAACGTTCTCTTTTCACCGGAGCTTCAGATGGGCCAGGAGGACCCGGGGAAGTGGAGGGGGAGGCAGGCGCCTGCATTTGCCTGGGCGGGTGTGTCACACAGGTGGAGGGGAGCAGAGAGATCAAGTGCTCAGAAGAAAGGTCCGGAAAAGCACCCCCCCACACACACACACACCCCGAGATGGAACCGGAGTCAGCTCTGCAGCAGGGCCCAGAGCAGGAGGGGCCACCGCCTCCAGGGCTCTCCCCCTGCGCCAGCCCCCTGCGCCCTAGGTAACCTCACGCCCTCCCCGCAACCCGGAGACGCAC